GGCTCACTAGCCTTTGCACCAAAGCGTACGGGAGAGCCACACCAACAGTGGCACAACTAAAACCACATATATACACCAACGTCAACACAAGGATTTGAACCCTTTAGCATACACCCAGAAACCAACTAACCCAACAAACAACTAAAGCAAGAAATACAAGCAACACACAAAATGGGGAAAACAAGTAGGACTACTAAACCTAAAAACCGAGTCTTCTTGCTTCCTCTCCAGAACTGAGCTATCTGACCACAACCTGAAATCCATGCCACCCTCCAAGAGCAGCTTGCATAGTAGCCCTCTCTGGCATCCAAACTTGCTAAAGTTAAGACCTAAAGATTCTAAGCTTTCCAATGCCACTATAATATGTACGTCAAAAGTTAGATTCGTGCCTCTGAAATCGCATAGTGATCTGCAAACAAATAAAGACAAGCAGAAAATAAAGACGCTTAATCTTATTGTAAATAATGTCTCCAAAACCAAGTCAATACGAAACATAAAATGGACAAAAATTACAAAGAGTTTACGGGAAACAAAACCAATGAAATAGAAAAACATAAATCTACTCCCAAATGCTTGTCTCGCTGATCAGCACTGGTTTGGTTCAGCTTCATTTTGGGCTAACATGAATACGCGTGTTGGGCCTCCTCCTCCAAGCCTTGGTTGATTCTGTTGAGGTTGTTGCTGATGTTGACCATGGTCCAGTCTTCTCGATTCTGGGCAAATGTCCGGGCTTCTGGCAGTTATAGCAAGTCCGTTGAGTCGCGCGGCAATCTTCTGCAGCATGGTAACCCCCGCATGCGCCACATCTCGGTCCCCTAACATCCTGAGCAGGTGGACGATCGTCGCGTCTGTCTGCTCCTCCATGTTTTTCTTTCCCCTGATCTCGGTGATGGTTAGCTTTCCTCTTGCCCGAGCTAAATGCTGGCGAAACAGTAGTAATTGGGTGAGCCGAGGTAATGTGTTGGACGGCTGGAATGGGTGCATGAAGAGTCTAACAACTCTTAAACTTTTGCATTCGAATCACCATCTCGACATAGGGCAAGTCTCCATGGCTCGTCAGTAATAGAAAAATGTTCGGGCGAAGCCCATCCAGGAATCTAGTGGCCTTCTTCTGCTCCGTGTCCACCAAGTGAAGTGCGAAGGCACTCATACGAGCAAAGTCACGTAAGTATTCCTCAACTGTTCGGGTACCCTGGCGTAGGTCCCAAAACTCTCTCTCCATCCTAGCACGGTAGTTCTGCGGGAAGTACTTCTCTAGGATAATCTCCTTCATACGGTCCCACGTCAGATTCACTCGCTCAGTCTGCCGCAACCTCCAATAGTTGGACCACCACGTAGCAGCATCTGCATCCAGCTGGAATTGGGCACAGGCAATACACTGTGCGTCGGTACAGAAAAGCAAGTCGTAGATCCGTTTGAGCTTACGGATCCACTCAGCTACAGCAGTAGGTCCCTAAAACCCCGGCGAAAGACGGCGGCTGCATATTTCGGAATTGGATGACCTTTTGAGTGTGGTCACGATCCAATGAAGGTGGGGCCTGATGGCCATTCTAGTCAGGGATGTTCCTTCGACGAGGTGGCATCTGTATATAAAAGATAGCTCGAAGGTTGAGCACAATTAACTCACGCTAAAATTCAATCAATAAAGAAGGAGAATAAATTCCTAAGCCCCAAATAATAACGAAAGCAATAAATAGATCACTTCATAAGTCATAACACATACCTTGAGCTGGCGTGGACTGACGAAGACGAGTGGTCATTTTACAATTTTTCAAAATTTTTGAAAAACAGTCTACAAAAACGTAGACGTGCTCTGATACCACACTGTAACGCCCCGTTATTTTTTTAAAAGAATAAATCTCGAGTTTTCAAAAACCAAAGTAAATTTTTCAAAATTTAATTATTGCTTTGAAAACATTTTAACAGGCGTTACTCAATTATTCATACTTATATCAGTCGGCTTAGTATCATCACAAGTCGTTGGGAACTCAATGCCCAATATCAAGTCATAAACGACACATAATTCACAACTATATCATCTCACCAATAACATCAATCAATAATACCAAAACAATATTCAAAACATCGGTTTGAAACCAATCACAAGTTTGAAAACATTCATGTTTAAGCGGAAGCAACATCAACAATATCATATAAAATGACCCCACTCGTTTCGTCCTTTGCCGCGGCCACCAGCTTAACCTGAAAGGGGGAAAATAGTGGGGGTGAACAAGCAACAAGCTCACCGTGGGAATACTATGGAGTCTATTCAGTATAATGACATAAAATCATAATCCCAGCATGAATGAATTGTTAGATATGTTGTAAAAGCTTGACTTTCAAATATGAATAATACCATTTTGATCTGGCAATCGTGTTTTAGCCAAAGTATTTATGTTTGCAGTTTATTTATTTATGTAACCATAACTTTATTATTTTACATTGTAGATAATATGATTCGTCATGTCGAACAGAAAGATCATATTATCTGTTCCTTGTAAAATATAAATTAATTTGTTCACAGTTTAGAAGGGCAGTGAGACCCTTGTTGGAAAAGACTGTAGTGTAGTCTTGATTCAGTTGGTCTTTGACTGATGGGTTACACTAGTACATATGATAAGTATTGAACGGACCGCAGAAGGATAAGATTATAAGATTTACTGATCGTTGTTATAATCTAGACCTTCAGTAGTTGATGCGTATTCTTAAGCTGTAAGATAATATAAAATAGGCATATATATTCATTGCTTATTTATTTGATTTACCAAGGGTGATTCCTATTCTGTTAGGATGACATACTCAGTATTTTGGTAAGTAAGAGTGATTATAGGATGTGCTGTTATAAATTATTTACAGTCAGTATATCCCAGTGCGCTGGGTTGATGACGTCCCAGAAATGAGCTCAGGAAGAAATACTATGCCAAACCCTATAGGTGGATAATTATCCAACATAATGATTAATGAACTGAGTGGTACTAATTTCGGAAATGAAGAAGTCGAATTAATTTTATTGTCAGTAATTAAATTAATCGACAAACGTTATATCTTAAGCATAGGGAGGTAAATCGGTCAATTAGATTAATATTAATCAATCATTTGGAGGTTTGATTTATTGGATAAATTAGAGCTAAATGGGGAGAATAATAGTATTACTCTAGTGGAAATGTTTTATTATTTAATTCTATTTAAATTAAAGAATTAATTTTATTCCATAATTAATATTCCATTAGGAGAGGAATATTCCTTCTATAATATTACCTAGGGTTAGGAGACTAAAGAGTTTTCTAGAAGGTAGTTAGGGTTAGGAGGAATTCTATCCTAGATTGGAAAAGTATATGGAATGGAATTAGGTTTCCTTAGCCTAATAGGATAAACCCATATTTAGCACCTCTTTAAGGTCCCTAATGTAGTCTATAAATACACCATGTGAACTCTCCCACTATTCGATTCCACACGCCCAAGACAAGGAAAAAGGAGTTTTGTGTGTTCTATAGATTGAGAGTTCGAGAGATTCGGAAAATCGCCCACCAAGATTTTTCAGAGTAGGTGTTTGGATTATACATTAGAAGATGGTTAGATAGATCAAACCTTGAAGATCTATATTTTCCGGCCAACCACCGCCGCCGTCCGCCATCGTCAATCACCGCCGGAAATCGTCGCGCCACCGTCGGAAGCCACCCAGCGTCCAGCCGCGAGCCAGCGCCCACAGCTCGCACGCAGCCTGACGCTGCCGTACGCTCCCAACATCGCTCGCACTCCGTCCCTGCTTGCTGTGCACCACCGGCGTCCGTGTCCATCGCGCCCCGCTCTCTGCATGAGTAAACACGCGTGAGCCTCAATCCGCACACGCCAAGGACACATGCAGCGCACGACCGCGTGGTTCCACACGCCCCAGCGCCAGTCCGCCCAGGCATAGGGAAGTCGCAGTGCAGTGCCCAGACGAGCCCGACGTCCTCGGGCGCCATCTGCACCCACGACCGTTCACCCGCGTGTCCCAGCCACCCATCGTGCACCCAATCACGACCAACACCGCCTGCCCGTGCCTGTCCGCGACCTGCACCGACCGAAACCAGCCCAGCCAAGCTGAGTGAGCCCGACCGAACCAATTGAGTTTCAACCGAGTCAACCTGGTGAGCCGAAGGTGATCCAACCGGCCCGAGCCCGACGAGCCCGATCCGGTGATCCATTCATGATTCAGTGACTCGATCAGAATCGAAAAAGGCCAGATCTGGAAGCCCATCGAATTATGGTAATCAGACGATCTCCATTAAAGGAAATCAGAAACGTCTCTGAGTCGGCAAAAATTTTAAACGGTAACATCCTAACCGTAACTATAGATTCTGCTATGTTAGGGTTTATGTTGCCAAATTCAAACGTGCATGTTGTTGTCGTTCGTAATAGAACCCAACATGAAAATCACCTCACCTATCTCCTATCTCGCCCTATGCTCATATGTACACACTCTTGCATGGGACTCAGAACACTCTTG